CCGAAAAGATGGCCTAAAAGTCCCGATCATACGCCAGTTTGGACATCCGTTCATGGTTTGGGACCAATCACTCAGGGCCTATTTGTTAAACATAACCGGAAAGGACACGACAGAGAGCCGATTGACCGATATCGCATGCCACTTAACTGACACGGAGCTGCGAAGACTGCACCGCAGATTTGGACACCCGTCCGTCCCTCGCCTACATAGGCTGCTACGCGCCTCAGGACACGAGAACACCAATGTCGCAGCACTCGAACAACTCACAAAAGTGTGCGAACATTGCCAGAGATACGGACGTTCCCCGGGCAGGTTTCGGTTTACCATCAAAGATCCAGACACTGTTCGCTTCAATTACAACATTATCATCGATGTAATGTATATTGAAAACTCTCCAATCCTCCACGTGATCGATGAAGCAACCTGCTTCCAAGCAGCACGATGGCTACGCGACCTGACAGCGAAACATACTTGGGATATGTTACGCCAGTGCTGGATTGACATATACCTTGGTCCACCAGACCTAATTACCACCGACTCAGGCACGAACTTCGCATCCAGGGAATTCAAACAGAATGCGAAGACACTCGGTACCCAAGTCAAAACTGTCCCAGTGGAATCCCATAATTCCATTGGACTCGTCGAAAGATACCATGCTCAGATCCGAAGGGCATACGAAATCATCATGAACGAGATCCCTAGTACTAATAGGGAAATCGCCCTTCAGATGTCTGTAAAAGCCGCGAACGACATATCCGGCCCACATGGTCTAATACCCACCCTTCTCGTCTTTGGAGCATACCCATGTATGACAGAACTGGACGCCCCATCACCCACGATTACCCAACGAGCAACTGCTATTCGAAAGGCGATGGGGGAAATCCAGAAGATGCGCGCCACAAGAAACGTGTCCGAAGCCCTAGCGACACGTAACGGACCCAACGTCACCGCAATCCATAACCTCCCACTAAACTCGCCTGTATTAGTATGGAGAGAAGGAAATGGCGGACAACTTGGGAAATGGGACGGACCTTTCGCGCTTTTGGCGCTTGAAGGCGAAACTTGCACGTTGAACCTACCACATGGCCCGACTCCCTTCCGATCGGTTGTCGTAAAGCCATACCACATAGACATCGAAGATGTTGCAACCGAAGCGCAACCTGAACCAACAAGGGTACAGACAGAGAACCTAGCCGACCTAAGGCCGAACGTGGCGGGAGAGAGGATGGAGACAAGAGCATCGCATAAAGAAAAAGAGGAACCCCCTAAACCAAAGAAACCTCGCCTCCAACAAATGCTGCATGTTGAAATCCCGATAATCCACCTGCAAATCGCACAACACACGCCATTCGAGAAATCCAGGCAAAAGGAGATTTCGGGCCTACTAGAAAAAGGAGTGTTTGAATTCGCAAGACGAAGCGACGTCCCACCAGGAACCCGGATATTCAACTCACGGTTCGTGGACGAAATCAAGCACCCAGGCACTGAGAAAGCCTTTAAGAAATCGAGACTGGTAGTCCAGGCGTTCAACGATGCCGGCAAAGAGACGATTCTCACCCAATCACCTACCATCCAACGCGCAAGCCAGCGAATCATCTTGGCTATAGCGGCGATGCAACCGGATATGAAACTTTACCTCCGCGATATCTCCTAGGCTTATGTGCAATCCACAACCAACCTGAACCGAAAATTCTTCGCACACCCGCCGCGTGAACTCCGGGAGTTGTTCGGATTGCCAGAGGACTCGATACTCAGGGTGATCAGACCATTATACGGGATCCCTGAAGCTGGAAATCATTGGTTTAAAACATACCATTCGCACCATATCGAGAAACTGGGAATGACAACATCGATATATGACCCCTGCTTATTGCACCGGAACAATGCAGGGGAATTCGGAATCGTTGGACTGTAGACGGATGATACACTTTTCCTAGCCGACCTGGCCTTCGCAACCAATGAACAGAAGCAACTAGACAAAGCGAAGTTCTTGGCAAAAGACCGTGAGACACTCGACCACGGAACGCCCTTGAAGTTTAATGGAGGAATGATTTCTTTGAACCCAGAAGGAATCACGCTATCCCAAAAATGGCAATGTAAAAAGTTGTCCATAATTGGAAAAACCCAGCGCGAACCGGCCAAAATCAAGGAGCAGTACATTGCCCAACGCGCGAGAGGTGCCTACATCGCGACCGTCTCACAGCCAGAAGCCGCGTTTGACCTGAGTCACGCAGCTTAAATCATCAACCCAACAGCTGATGATGCAAATAACCTGGATAAGCGGTTATCATGGCAGATTCAAAATGCAGCGAGAGGATTATCATTCATACCATTACAACGCGAATCACTCCAAATATTGGCATTCGTGGATGCATCGTTCGCAAATAATCCGGACCTTACATCGCAAATTGGCTTCGTTATTGTCCTTGCAACCCCAGAAGCCGAGGGCAAAAACGCTAACATCCTACACTGGGCATCCGTTAAGTGTAAGAGGGTCACCCGGAGCGTGCTCGCGTCAGAACTATACGCAATGGCCAATGGTTTTGATGCTGCTATCGCCATCAAAACGAGCCTAGACCGGATACTGAATACCACCCTCCGACTCACCATTTGCACGGATTCGAAATCCCTGTATGACTGTCTCGTGAAACTAGGCTCCACAACGGAAAAACGACTCATGATTGACGTGATGGCACTCCGTGAGGCATATGAGCGAAGACAAATGGAGATCCTTTGGATCGAAGGCGACTCCAACCCGGCTGACGCAATGACCAAGTCAAAACCCTGCGACGCACTGACGAAGTTGATAGACTCCAACAGAATCAACTTGAAAACCGTCGAATGGGTCAAAAGAGAGGAAAATCTCTCCACATAACCCACCATACATCGGGCATCACCCGGCGATGATAAACGGCCCTAAAAATATCATCGCCAACCACTTTCTTTCAACCACTCTTCGGTATCCAACATACTTCTTTCATACACCTATTTAATGACAATTTGGCGACGGAAACACCAGGCCATTTTTCCTTTCAGAAAACCAGATCACACGATACCGTCAAAGGAAAAATCCCTGATTTCCCCCGCATCAGACACGGAAATCGCCCTTTTCCCCAGAAATAAAAGAAGAGAAAAGCCCCCTTCTCCTTCTCCGTTCGTCTATCACCCGAACACTCCTCCACCCATTATCTGAAGACCCCAACTGCCGAAAACCTTCCTTTTCCCACAAGAACGCCACCCCCAGAAGCCACTACAAACCACCCGATCGATGGCCGGAAGGGTGACGAAAGCAAAAGGAAAGGGAGCAAGAGGACCTAAAAGAGCGAAAGCTGTAGGTCCAGTGGCAGGTCTAGCGGCAGGTCCAGCTCCAGCAGCAGACCCAGCCCCAGCCCCAGGAGCACCAGCAGTGCCAGCGGAACCCGCCATAGTATTATCGCCGACAACCCTATGGGCGATACCAGAACAGCCAAAGTTCATGACGTGTATTGGATGTATTGGACACGAAAACACAAACTAGGAAGGAGAAACATTTCCCACGTTCAACTGCCTTTTCGATACCATAGCCAGTAAGAAATGCAACCGATGCAGAGGGGCTAGCAAAGCCACATGTCACCCACCACTGTTCGGAATCCAATACAATAGCTGGATATTCCACACACTTATGGACTACGCCAGAAATGTAGACCCTGCCGCAACATATGCGAGTCAAGGACTATCGGCACCATTTGGCACACCGGGAGCAACCAACGCAGCGTTCACCTGGGCAGAAACTGCACCCGAAGCAGCCTAGGCGGCAGCTGGCAACCTGATGATGGCATTCCGACAGCTAATCACAATCCACTCGACGGAATCGGGGATCGAAACGGACAAGAAATATGACCCAAAGCTCATCAGGGAATACATAGCCGTCCAGCGGGAAAAGCACAACGCCCAAATCAGACTCCTACCGCATCCGATTCGCTTCCCGAACACCTTATGTAGACTGGAATCCTTAGAAGGAGGGTACACCATGTGGCAGTCCGCCATATTATCCTTTTTCCGGGAATTAGCAACGGCTCAACCTGCGAACGCCGCCGTTATCATGAATAAGGCAACAGAATACCATTTGCCATTCTGATCTCAGGGGATCAGTAAAATGCCGCCAGAGAGGACCACGGATAGAAGACGAAATGGAGACTGGCTTCTCTAGGAAAAGCCCACTTTCGTGTTGTCCACTTTTTATTATTTTTTTTTTCCCACTCACCACTTTCTTTACCCCGCACAAAGGCTGATTCTTCAACAAAAATCGGCCACCCAACAGATACAATATGCAGGGCACTCGGGGGCATATCGTGCACCTATCCACATTCATTTATTTTATCAATCCATGTATATAGCGACTCGAGATTTTAAAGTTGCTCCAGTGTCGGAACATGGATATTGCAATCATGCAATACCATAAACCCGGAACGGAACAAACAGACCCCCGAGTCACGGGGGAACAACTATATTAGGAACTCAAGTAGCTACATGAATCGAACACATTTCACACCACTTTGCACAACGTATATACTAAGAATCTAGGACGAACCATACCCTTTTCTAGTGTATATAGTGCAACGTGTGAACCCTGTCCTTTCAACGTAGTTGATCGACAGTTCCGTTCCGGGTTTTTATGGTATTATATGATTATAATATCTATGTTCCGACAAGATCCTTAAAGTAAACGTGATATTCTCTATACTATTATAGAGTTTCGTAATCTTAAAGGTCGGCTAGAAGGCGCCGATAGGTAAGGATGCTACTATACCTTAAATTCATATTTAATTGATCTAACACCTATTTTCCTTTTTAGGACCAAGTTTTTCATATATAGTGACTACTAATTAGTATATTACCCGATCGCTTAGATAGTCTCCTTCGCTTTCTATAATAGGGCTTTTATTAATATGGAACTTACACTAGAGCTAATTTAGAGGCTACGAGTTCCTAAGCACACTCCGTCCCTTCCTCTTTAGTAGAAAGCAGAAGTCCTGAACACTCCTATTCTTCGATGCTTTAAGCGCACTCCCTATAGCTACGAACTCTATAAGTCTTTATCGATGACTTATGAATCAAGTCGGCAAGCCCTTAAAGAGTTGGGCCGAGACGCTAAATTTAAAGACGATATTAGGTATTACAACTTTCGCCGTTAGACAGCAAATAAAGTGAATTATAAGTTATTATTACACCAAAATGAATATGCTATCATTATAAAGGCTAAGAAAACTTTATGTTACTAATCGATATTAACGAGTAGCTTCTAGGGAATTTTATGAGCTAGGAGTGGTAAAGGGTGCTTAGTCAATCTAGCGACGCCGTCTTTAAAAAATATTATTAATCACAATTTATTAGACGCGATCTCTAGTATATCGTTCTTCTTCGACCATCTTAGGAAGGCCTTATATATTTCGCCGGAAGTATGCTTAGGAAAAGGGATGTTTATACTCTATATAAGCTTTCGGATACGTATAAGTATGCAATTTACCAAAATCCGGATCTTCTATAGTTAAGATAAGAGAAGAGAGAGCTTAGGGCGGAAATACAATCTCTGGCTGGCTTAATCAAAAAAGCTCGAGTTACCTTTCTATATCTCTATTAAAGGTATAAAAATACTAATAAAGAAATAGCGAAACTTCGAAAGATATAATAGGTTGAATCCTGGTGAACTATTATATAGTTATACTATATAACCTACTAACTATATACCTCACGATTCCACCCCGAATTATTTATATTCTTTAAGGATTTTATAAATAGTATATGCCTAGCTAGTTCTGAATTCAAGATTAGCTTTAGCCCTTTATATATAAAATCCTTCCTCTAACGAGAGTAAAACTCACGACCGACGATAAGAAAAGCGCTCTTAGAAAGTATCTGATCTAGATATATATATAGGTTGGGTATAGGTCAAAATTTATACCTATACCTAACCTATTAGGGGTAAGGTAAACCTATACCTATACCTAACCTAACCTATATAGGTATAGGTTAGGTATAGGTCCTATATAGGTATTTTTAATGCCTTAGTACCTGATTTTCGCCTTAACCTAAACTAAATTAGGGTAATTAGTGTCTTAGTACCTAATTTTTGCCTTAATCTAGTACTAACTAGGTGATAAATATCACGTGAAATAAAAGTCTTGTTAAAGGCCTAATTCTATTTATAGTTAGTCTATTTTAGTTAGTATTAGAATCCTATAATAGGATTCCTCTATTCTATAATAGATATATATATACTCTTTGGTATATATACTATGTTCTTATTTGCCTACTAGAATCCACTATTCCTTGGTAGTCGACCTCTATTTGATAGTTATAAGCCCGGTTCGCCGATAATTTACCTTGAAAAGCATATTTTAAGGGTAAACGAGACTAAAGACTATGTCCGCGATGTCCGGCGATATAAGACTAAAAGATGCCTCTTAATAGCAGCAGTGGTATAGGCGAGTCAAAGCCGTAGCTATTGGCGGAGATATATAGGAATACTGCGATCTAGAGCTTAGGACTGAACGACCAGTCCTAGGATCAGAACCACGCGACTACCCGATTAAACTAATGCTTAAACTCGATATAGATCGTAAAGAGTATGATCGGTTATAATAGGACTAGAAGGACGATATAGAGGATTATAAGTTCCGTCTTTTATTCTACTAAACCAAGAAGCGAGTAATTAAATCTATGAATGAATATATCCTAAAGTACTTAGATATATATATTTAGAGTCTTGTTTTATAATATAACGAACTATTTATACGACTTAAATTCTTATATAACTACTATAGAATCTTGTTAATAAATAGAGCTAGGGTATTCTACTATTAGCACAACTTTGTGGTTACTCTACCTATAGCTGGCGCCGATATTAGCGCCTAGCTTAAAGAATGGGAGTATTCGCGCCTTAAAGTAGAGGTTAAGGGCGTCTCAGCTACCAAGAATGATGATACTATATAGCTTTTTTTAGAGCTAGTAAAGGATATACTACTAAACTAGTGGTAGTCCTAGCATAGAAAGATTATAGTTGATCGTAAGCAGATCTCTATACGTCGCCTTCTAGATCATTTCAAAACCACCTACTAGAATCAAAGACTAAAGCAGCCAGCCATCTTAAAGGGAGCGTTCACGATGTTCTAAGGACACCAGGAAACAGCTAGCTAAGCCAGTGCTCCTACCCCTTATGCTCCTGGCCAACCTAGTGCCCCTGGTCAAGGGAAGAAAGCTCTAGCTAGAGCTTAATTCCTATAGGAGCAGAAAGCAAAACCATTTAAAGATAGGGCATACCTATATGGTTATAGCTACCCTGTCGATAAGTGCTTCAACTTAAATAGTAAAGGCAGCAGAAAGCCAAATGCTGGCATGAAATAGAAGATAAAATAGGCCCTAGATAGGGATTTAGGCTAGAAATAGTGGATCGACACTAAACTAAAAGAATCCACCAATACTAGTAATACCCTAGCCGAGCCAGCCAGGCAATCTATAGCTGTAAACTATACCGCTAACTATACTATAAAACTAGTGTTTTTCGCGACTCAAACTACCTATGCTGCCGATTCAAGCGATAGTATATAGCTCGTAGGCACTACCGAAGACCAGTTTCTCGGCCGAAATACTATAATCTCAGATACTCTAGATATAGCTTTAGATACTCTAAATACTATTCTGGATATAGTTTTAGATACTCTGGACACTATTCTAGACCTCTCTAGTGTATTTATAGACTCTATATTTCTATAGAAATCAGCTTTCCTGACCTAGTCTGGTTAGGAGCTCTAGAAAGATAGCTGGGTGCTAGATATAGGCGCCAGTGCGTATATCTATAACAACTTAGGTGTATTCGTCAATTTCGAGCATAGAAGAGACACCCTTTAACTAGGATTAGGAGAGGTTGAAACCCTTGGTAAAGGACAATACGAAGTTAAAGGGATCCATCTAGTAACCAAGGAATCGATATTAATCATCCTGTTAAATATCCTCTATAGCCCTAAGTTTAGATTGAATCTACTCTCTTACTATGCCCTAAATAATAAAGGAGGCGATTAGGTGCCTTCGAAAGACTATCTTATTGATAGGGACGGGACACCTATCCTAGCTATTTAAAGGATTCATAACCTAAATTTATTGATCGTGGAGCTATTATTAGCTGAACAAGATTCAGATAAAGAGACACCCGACGAGATCTTTTCGGCGGAAAAGCATATATATATGGGCAAGGATTCCAGAAAACCACTAGAATCTAAGGCATCGATAGAGCTCTAGCATCGTTGTCTAGGTCATTTATACTATGATGCTATATAGTAGCTTCCTAAGCTCGTTAACGGAGTCGTTTTGAGTAATCAACCAGACTCAACTAAACCAGTTACTGACCATATAAATGGCTAAATATAGAGCCTATGCTCTATTTATAGTCTTACTAGAGCTCCTAGATAGATATCTAGACGTTATCTAGGACATAGGTATGGTCGATTCGGATAGATCTCTCTAGACCTGATCTAAATGTTAATCGCGTATAATGAAGAGCGTTAGATTTACTATTTTTACGTTGACGGAATCTACTTCTATTAGGTCTTCACCTATCATATAAAGAACTAGATAAATGATGCGATTCGACACTTTATTGAACTCCTGAAAAACTGGTGGAATTTACCTATTCGAGCTGTCATGGTGCTAGCTTAGACGACTACTGATTGATTAGATAGTGCGGGCTATATAACCCGTAACCTTATATAAACTCAGAACCTTATCTGAATATAGCTCTTTAAGCTACGTCTTCGTCTTAGCCTATTAGTTAATACAATACTATCTATCTAGTTCTAGTATAATTCTATTCACCTGCCCGCCCTATGATACTATATAGCTTCTACCCTATACTAGAGCTGCCACCCGCTAGCATGCCCTATCCTGAACCGCCTTTGAACGCCGATTCTATTAAAGAATTCCTGGCTCACGTCCAAGAACACCCCGATATCTGGGTGCTATACCTCTAGATTATGGAGGGCTACTCTTAAGAAATTGAGAAAGATAACCAAACCCTCCGCTAAGCCGCGACTAAAAGCGAGGAGACTCGGCACCGTAGGGAGGGTGTTATTAGATATCAGGAAGAGCGCATCAATAGCTTATATAATAAGATTGTTGGGCTCGAAGTCGAAAAAAATCAGATCCTGAACTCCGCCCTGCCTATTATATAAACCCCCCTAACTGAAAACACTCCTGCCTAAGGTATTAAGAACCTAGTAGATATCCCTATATAAGAACTTGCACCGACTCCTATCCTAGGTCCCTGGTCTACCTCCCTTAGTGAAAGAATCCCTAACCCGAAAGAGTTTAATGGAACTCGTAGCGACCTCCGCCGCTTTATATAATAGATCCATAGTAAGATAAACGTGAACCAGGACCGTTTCCTAATAGCTATTATTAGACTTACTTATGTTGTGGGGAGACTTACTAGTAAAGCGTACGAACTAGTACTACTAAAGATCTTGTACAGAGTTCCCTAGTTTATAGACTACCCGTAAATGCTTGAATATCTCGAGAAGGCCTTCGGCGACCCTAATAGAGTCCAGAATGCCTAGAACCGCTTATACTAGCTCCGCTAGAAGAATAACAACTTTAATACCTTCCTATCCGAATTCCAGCGTTTAGCCCTAGAGGGCGAACTATATAAAGAAGCTCTAACTCCCCTCCTGATATAAGCTATCTCGAACGAGCTCTAGGATATGCTCTTATATAACCTAGCTCTATCCTACTAGTTTTATAGCTATATAGCCTATCTTTAGTCGCTCGATAACCGCTTCTACTAACACCAGCAATAGATATATTATGCCCGCCAACCCACGCCCTTAGGTAGTACACCCCGGGAGAAAATCGCAAGGACCTTATACGCAGCCGCCGCGATAACAAATATACTACCTAGGACCCTGACTCCCGCCTAAGGCCCTAGTATAACGGTGTGGGTTGCAAGAAGGCTAAGAGAGGTAATAGACTCTCTATATAAGCTGGCTGAACCAGCTACTAGGGAAGCAGGGGTTCCCTGGATAAGCTAGTTAGAGATTCGCTACTTCCTGATATATTTAACTCTCTAAGGTCTTTAGACTCTTAAAGGAGTTCAAGAGTTGTTCTTGTCCCTAATTTACCCTAGTAGAATCGAGCCCTATAGGATACCATACCCACACCTCCGTCCTCTAGTAGCCTTCTTATATTAGTTCTTCTCTTATTTATAGTAGCCTAACCATATTAGACTTAAACCCTTATAATTATAACTCTTCTCTCTTAAGTAACTAAAGACCCTTAAGATGGCTCCTACCATAAGGCAACGAGGAGCTACTTAGGACTCTACTCCTGAAAGAGGACTTCCGGCCATAGAAGAAGAAGCCTAACCTCCTACCGAACCAACCTCTGATCGCTTAACTCTCCCTAGCGATCCCTAGCCGAATATGGCCGAAATTCTATAAACTATCCACCGCCTAGAGGGAGAAATCCAGAAACTAAAAAACCTAGTCCTAAACCCTCAAGACTT